AAAGGCAAAAAGGCCTAAGAGCCATAAGATAAAATAGTAATTGGGCCTTGCATTGACTTTGGACGGCAGATTTAGTACATTTTAAAGAACCTGTTGATTCTGAATGCCGTGCGTACGATTAGCAAAAGCTGAATCGTACTTCGCGAAAGTGTGAATTAGCGTGCGATTGTAATGGCGTTGGGCCTCTATCACAATATCACAAATCACAATCACACAATCACACCTTCCGTCGCGGCACTCAAATCCATTAGCGTAGTTCGCCAGCGACGCCTGGCTCCATTATGCTAGTTTCTGACGTTTTCTGTATGGTACCAGCGAGCAACCCTGGCGTCTGTTATCGCTCTTTTGGGCTGCTATCGTTTCGGTGAGGTTGAGAGACAATATTAATGATATTATTATTATTTACTATTTATAATATATATATATATATACCATATTTATATCATGTATACCTAGTTATACCTGTGATAATATATATATATATATATATATATATATATATATATATATATATATATATATATATTATCGCCCACAAGAGAGAGAGAGTAAGAGAGAGAGCAGAGAGAGAGAGAGAGAGAGAGGGAGAGAGAGAGAGAGAGAGAGAGAGAGAGAGAGAGAGAGAGAGAGAGAGAGAGAGAGAGAGAGAGAGAGAGAGAGAGAGAGAGAGAGAGAGAGAGAGAGAGAGAGAGATATATATATATATATATATATATATATATATATATATATATATATATATATACCAATATTAAAACTGCTGACTTAATATCGGCGCGGTGTTCGGTCCACGTGGCAGCTGAGGACCGCGCCAATAATCGTCCTATGATCGTCGCGTTGGGTTGCCATCGCCTTGGTTGGGTTGAGCAAAACTAATGGCGTCGTCGCCAGCGATCGCCGGCGTCTGGAAATCCAGCGGAAGCAGTATTATCACAAGGTCGCGGAGCACACGGCGACCGGACACAGCGATGTCGGCACACCGACCAGCCGCGCAGGTCAGCGCCACCTCGGGCAGCGAATCACAGCCTCGCGACAGACCACCAGATGACAGCACGGTGTTCTTGCGGGACAGGACTGATGTGACTAACACGTGTTTCATCGCCTTTTCGACGCAACATAAGCGTGAACAGAAACTAGGTAATACCTTAGCCAGAAAAACAAATCAGTTCGGCAGCCTAGGCCGACAGCAACTGTTGGGCAGAACGCAGAACTGCCATAGGCGTAGGACTGTTTCAAAAAGTGGGGGGAGGGGGGACAGGCTCAGAGCATAATTGAGCGGTTTTTTCTAGGGAAGCAAGCCCATGCGACCGTGGGAGTGGCCTTGCGGACTTAATCAGCTCCTAATCTGCCATAACCCATCCTAGGGACAACTAAATGTTCCGTTTGCTATGCTATGTATACACCTGGAGCTATTCTGGGATGGTACACAATCTTACCTACTCGACCCTCGACGTACGTATGGTACCATTCAGCAAACAATACTGTTCAGTTTCATAAAATAAGTTATCCATCCCAGCATTGTTTCAAGTGGGGAGAAAAACATTCACGACCGGAGAGGCATTTTGGGTCATTGGGAGGCATCCGCCCCAACAGTTTGCATAAGTCAAAATAGGGCCTGGACGCACAGGCTGGTCATAATATTGAATTCGGAACCAATAGTGCTCCAAAGTTTGTAGTGCATCTGGATTTCGCTGACTACTGTTGAAGAGGTGAACTTTGGTCGTGGCATTTTAGGCAGAACAAATATTCAGAAGACTGGAATATCGCCTGCCAAAAAAAAGGTGGCATAAGTCATAAAGCCGGGTCTTCCTACCGGGGTAATTTAAAGGAGATTATGACTGGTAGGTGAATATACCCGCAGAACGATCAGGTAAAATTAGATGGTAAGCATGCTCATGTGTTTGCAAGCTTATTACCAGCAAAGCTGATAATATCAAATCGGCGTGGAAAGTGAATACGTCCGTGTAGGGGCCGCGGTCACTAGGGGGGGGGGGGGGGGGAGCCATCCGACTTTGTCAAAATTTAGCATTCGCCCAATGGGCGTTAGATGGAAAGGAGTATCCAAATTACCATCATGCCCCCAAACCTATGAATGCTTCTCTTCCCCTGCGCCTTTGCTAGAGCGGGCTAGCAGCCCACGTTGACCACTTCGCGCGCCAGCCGGCTGGCACAGAGCAAAATTGCTTCCGTGCGAGGCTGGTTAGCGCAGTGTAACGGGGAGCTACATTAAACAAGGTAAGTCCAGTCTTTTGTGACGAGGCGCAAAAGATGTCCATGCGAGACTGAGGAACTGGCGACCCACGCTAAAACCCAGCCAGCCTTAGAACAGACTCACACGGGCGTGCGTGCTGCCCATGGGACTTCATATGTGTGCGTGTTCTGTGGGTCCACGTCATCGCGTCTTTTGAGTGGTCGTGACCAAACAGACCAAGCTCAGGGACCGAGCAAATGTAATTATTGGGTCGCACTGCCACTCATATGAAGAGTGTAGCGATTCGTCAGCCCTACGGTCAACGCATACCGTTCCGGCTAAGATAAACGGTAGAACAGGAACATATCGTGCTCGGCACCCCCGTTTGGCTGTCTATATTTCTACACACAGCTACTTTGGTTGAATACAGCAACGCACATAAACGCGGAAATTCAGAGACGCAACATACAGTGGCTTGACACCCGACGTAACCATGCAGGCAGGTAAGGACCGAACACGGCCGGCCCTGCAGACAGGTGAAGACCAAGCACTGCGACTGTGCGGGCGGGAGCAGGGAGACATGAAGTCTCTGACCTCCTATCTCGAACAGCTTTGAATGATAACGAATTGCAAAAGTGGTGAAAAATTTTCAAGAAAAAACGAGCAGTGAAAAGCAATGACAATCTCAGGCTGAGCGCGACCGGCCGCGGCTGTAGGTTAAGCCACGTCCGGGGTCACCAAACAGGGTTGAAGGCCGAGACGCATGGAACATACCTAGCTTTTTTCGAGCCGCCAACTCCGATGTACCGTGCAGGCTATCAACCAAATTATAGCTACGATATCGCCCCACACGAGGTTGTCACGTACATAATCAGATTTGTCATTAGATCTTCTGCAATCGGCTCGCTGGTCACATTCAGCTGTCCCTAATTGACTGAAATTTGAGAATACAAAGACTGCCCACTGTTCCTGCCGCCCTACGGTGAATGAGTTTCATTTGTGCGTCCTCACTTTTCCTGCCGTTGTATCATAGACTTGGAAAGCACATATACAAACATAAATTGTATATAAGCCGCTCGCTTGTCATTTGCATCTTCCGCCACCGGCCTTATCAATATATGTGCGAATGTTTCGACGCTCCAGCGATGTTTGCAGCTTTACGCCCGGTGTCTCACAGCCCAGCGTATTGAAGTGTTGGCTCAGTGACGTCACGATTATGTGGAGAGGAGATAAAGCGAGGATCACTTGACGGGTTTACCTGTATGCATCGCCTCTGATTAACATTTCTTGTACGGCCTTGGGCTCAAAGTGGGATCAGCTAGCATTTTGGGCGCATTATGACCTGTGTAGATGTGGTAGGTGCTGCAGGATGGGGAAATTATCTGTCCGTTCTGTGGTAAAGAACATATTTTTATCATTCCTGAAGTACATATATGTTTTTGATTGCGGAGAGAGGTACTAATTGTCT